CACAGTCACACTGAGGGTAGAAATGTACAACAATCACCCTTAGAATAGAGAAGTACAACAGTCACACTGAGAGTAGAAATATACAACAATCACACTTAGAATAGCGAAGTACAACAGTCACACTTAGAATAGAGAAGTACAACAGTCACACTTAGAATAGAGAAGTACAACAGTCACACTTAGAATAGAGAAGTACAACAGTTACACTGGGAATAGAGAAGTACAACAGTCACACTTAAAATGGAGAAGCACATTATCCACAATTAGAGTACAGAAGTACAACGGCTACTCTTAGAATAGAGAAGTACAACAGTCACACTTAGAAAAGAGAAGTACAACAGTCACACTTAGAATAGAGAAGTACAACAGTCACACTGGGAATAGAGAAGTACAACAGCCACACTTAGAATAGAGAAGTACTATAGTCACACTTAGAAAAGAGAAGTACAACAGTCCCACTGTCACACTTAGACTAGAGAAGCACAGCAGTTACTGTTACATTGAGCCTGTTTTTAATCCAGTATCATATTGATCGTAATTTGTTAGTCTCTATGTCATTCACTTATTATACCTGATACAGAACCATGTCATGACCTTCAAGATGTCGCCAAAGACAACTGCCATGAAGGGAACAGCCACCACAATCAGATACGCCCAACCAATCACAACAGCAGAAGACCTCTTGTCCACACGACTTGTCTTCTTCAGGATTGATTTTGTCATGTCTTTAGAGTTGACGGATACATTTTTCTTCAGTTCTGTCACTTTCTCTGCCACTGCCTCTGGTTTGCTTGGTGCTGCCTTCAGATTTCGGCACCTACAGATACATTTCTTGAAGATCTTCCGCCCCATACGATCAACACCTAGCGGTTTTACTGTTGTCTCAGCAAATGTGGGGTCAGTTGCGGTAGATGTTGTGGCGGTTTCACCTGTAGTAGTAGTTGTAGTGGTGTCAGTTACAGTTGTAGTAGTGGCGGTGGTTTCACCTGCAGTACTGGTGGTGTCTGTGGTCTCAGTGGCTGTACTGGTGGTGTCAGTGGCTGTACCGGTGGTGTCAGAGGCTGTACTGGTGGTGTCAGAGGCTGTACTGGTGGTGTCAGAGGCTGTACTGGTGGTGTCAGAGGCAGTACTGGTGGTGTCAGAGGCTGTACTGGTGGTGTCAGAGGCAGTACTGGTGGTGTCAGTGGCTGTACTGGTGGAGAGGCAGTACTGGTGGTGGTGGTGTACTGGTGGTGTCAGTGGCAGTACTGGTGGTGTCAGAGGCAGTACTGGTGGTGTCAGTGGCAGTGGTGGTGTCAGAGGCAGTACTGGTGGTGGCAGAGGCAGTGCAGTGCTGGTGGTCTCTGTTGTCTCAGTGGCAGTACTGGTGGTGTCAAAGGCAGTACTGGTGGTGTCAGAGGCAGTACTGGTGGTGTCAGAGGCAGTACTGGTGGTGTCAGAGGCTGTACTGGTGGTGTCAGAGCCTGTACTGGTGGTGTCAGAGGCAGTACTGGTGGTGTCAGAGGCTGTACTGGTGGTGTCAGTGGCAGTACTGGTGCTGAAAGAGGCAGTACTGGTTGTGTCAGTGGCAGTTCTGGTGGTCTCTGTGGTCTCAGTGGCAGTACTGGTGGTCTCAGTGGCAGTACTGGTGGTGTCAGAGGCTGAACTGGTGGTGTCAGAGGCAGTACTGATGGTGTCAGTGGCAGTACTGGTGGTGTCAGAGGCAGTACTGGTGGTGTCAGAGGCAGTTCTGGTGGTGTCAGAGGCTGTACTGGTGGTCTCTGTGGTCTCCGTGGCAGTACTGGTGGTGTCAGTGGCAGTTCCGTTGGTGTCAGAGGCAGTACTGGTGGTGTCAGTGGCAGTACTGGTGGTGTCAGTGGCAGTACTGGTGGTGTCAGAGGCAGTGCTGGTGGTCTCTGTTGTCTCAGTGGCAGTACTGGTGGTGTCAGTGGCAGTAGTGGTGGTGTCAGAGGCAGTACTGGTGGTGTCAGAGGCAGTACTGGTGGTGTCAGAGGCAGTACTGGTGGTGTCAGAGGCTGTACTGGTGGTGTCAGAGGCTGTACTGGTGGTGTCAGAGGCAGTACTGGTGGTGTCAGAGGCAGTACTGGTGGTGTCAGAGGCAGTACTGGTGGTGTCAGAGGCAGTACTGGTGGTGTCAGTGGCAGTACTGGTGCTGTCAGAGGCAGTACTGGTGGTGTCAGTGGCAGTTCTGGTGGTCCCTGTGGTCTCAGTGGCAGTACTGGTGGTCTCAGTGGCAGTACTGGTGGTGTCAGAGGCTGAACTGGTGGTGTCAGAGGCAGTACTGATGGTGTCAGTGGCAGTACTGGTGGTGTCAGAGGCAGTTCTGGTGGTGTCAGAGGCTGTACTGGTGGTCTCTGTGGTCTCCGTGGCAGTACTGGTGGTGTCAGTGGTAGTTCTGGTGGTGTCAGTGGCAGTACTGGTGGTGTCAGTGGCAGTACTGGTGGTGTCAGTGGCAGTACTGGTGGTGTCTGTGGTCTCAGTGGCAGTACTGGTGGTGTCAGAGGCAGTACTGGTGGTGTCAGTGGTAGTACTGGTGGTGTCAGAGGCAGTACTGGTGGTGTCAGTGGCAGTACTGGTGGTGTCAGAGGCAGTACTGGTGGTGTTAGTGGCAGTACTGGTGGTGTCAGTGGCAGTACTGGTGGTTTCAGTGGCAGTACTGGTGGTGTCAGTGGCAGTACTGGTGGTGTCAGTGTCAGTACTGGTGGTGTCAGAGGCTGTACTGGTGGTGTCAGTGGCAGTAGTGGTGGTGTCAGTGGCAGTGCTGGTGGTGTCAGTGGCAGTACTGGTGGTGTCAGAGGCAGTACTGGTGGTGTCAGTTGCAGTACTGGTGGTGTCATAGGCTGTACTGGTGGTGTCAGTGGCAGTACTGGTGGTGTCAGTGGCAGTGCTGGTGGTGTCATTGGCAGTACTGGTGGTGTCAGTGGCAGTACTGGTGGTGTCAGTGGCAGTACTGGTTGTGTCAGTGGCAGTACTGGTGGTGACAGTACTGGTGGTGTCAGAGGCTGCACTGATGGTGTCACTGGTGGCAGTACTGGTGGTGTGAGAGGCTGTACTGGTGGTGTCAGTGACAGAACTGTTTGTGTCAGTGGCAGTGCTGGTGGTGTCAGTGGCAGTACTGGTGGTGTCAGTGGCAGTACTGGTGGTCTCAGAGGCTGTGCTGGTGGTGTCAGTGGCAGTACTGGTGGTGTCAGAGGCTGTGCTGGTGGTGTCAGTTGCAGTACTGGTGGTGTCAGTGGCAGTACTGGTGGTGACAGTACTGGTGGTGTCAGAGGCTGCACTGATGGTGTCAGAGGCTGTACTGGTGGTGTCAGTGACAGAACTGGTGGTGTTAGTGGCAGTGCTGGTGGTGTCAGTGGCAGTGCTGGTGGTGTCAGTGGCAGTACTGTTTGTGTCAGTGGCAGTGCTGGTGGTGTCAGTGGCAGTACTGGTGGTGTCAGTGGCAGTACTGGTGGTCTCAGAGGCTGTGCTGGTGGTGTCAGTGGCAGTACTGGTGGTGTCAGAGGCTGTGCTGGTGGTGTCAGTGGCAGTACTGGTGGTTGTGTCAGCTTCAGAAGTGGTGGTTTGGATCTCTGTGGCAGTAGTAGTGATGGCATCAGTTGCAGTAGTGGTGGTGGTTTTGGTGTCAGTCGTGGTGGTGAGAGGTGTCTTGAAAGCTGTGGTGTTGCTACCTGTAATATTTAATGTGGCATCACTGAAATATTTCACAAAACGGTGCTTAAAGTAGAATATTACCTGATCTCTTAATCTTGCTCCTAATTTAAGTTTGACCTTCAAGACAACCATATTTGAAAACACACCTTTTCCTATAATAATTATCAAGGAGTAATGCAAATCTTGTAAGTAAATATCAATTAGGCTTGAAAATGTAAAGAAACTGTTTCGGATCACCAACTTCTTGAACCAGCCATACATAGGAATATCCAGTTACAAACAATAAACTTCGTACATTAGACGCCCAGGTATGTCTTCCATCCTCGCCCAGTTGTTTCAACATTAAATAACAATTGTGTGGATATCTCCGTGTGTCTTGCCTCAGAAGACGAAGCCAATATTTCATTACTTTACATTGACCAAAAATCTGTATGGTGTAAAGCCAAGTTTCTCCAAGAATCGCTTTGTTTGCTGCAAACGTCCCAACTCCTAAAAATCTCTTGAAGTACAAAGTATGAAATTTCTCGATAGATTTCTGGTAAGCATATCTCAGATGAGTACAGCAGTATTGGAAATATCTTGGTGTAAAACAATTTGCACGCTTTGGAGAATGGTAAGTCTTTACACTGTCTAAATAGCTGATATACAGGTAAGACAGCTTTTCACCTATGAGATACCAGTTTTTGACAAGCTTTTGACCATTTTAATACGCAGGAGAATAGCAAACAAGGATATTTGTAATAGGTTACAATCTTTATAGTTTCCCACATACTGTCCATGATTCATACCTAGCAACAATTCCACCTTTCCTAACTACTCTAATGTTAGTTTTGTCCATGTTAATCACCAGTCCCCATTTAGCACAATACTCTGTTATACTGTTTAACTGTCTCTGTAGTCCAACATCAATATACGAGAATGTAACAGCAAACAATAGTAGCATAATATCTTCTATAAACGAGGAAACAAACATTCCATGTTCACAGGTAGAAAAAAACATATCACGCACAAGTTCGTTGATGAAAAATATGAACAATTAATGTACATCCTTGCCTAACACCAGATGAAGTTGAGAAAGCAGGGTTTTTCTGGCCATCCACTTTGACGCAAGATATAACATGACTGTACATATTCTTGATGATGTTACATAGTTTACCATGACAGCCACGTTGTAGAAGAAGATAGAGTAATTTCTCAAAGTCTAGGGATAAAGTCAAACGCTTTTTTGAAGTCAATAAAAGCCGCGTAAAATCTTCCCCTTGCCCTACTCAGACACTTTGTACAGGTACGATGGCATGTATCAACCAAACCAGCAGGCCTGAATACCTGGGTTGTTGAAGACCAATTCTAGTTCTGTTCACATGACAGCATGTCATCGCTTCCCAAATGTGTAGATCGATGGTCATGATGTTAATCACTACTTTGTCTTGTCCAGACTCAATTACTTAAGGACAGCCGCCATAAAGCTGGACTATTGCTGAGTGCGGCGTTAAACAACCAACCAACCCAAAACTGAGAGGACGTAACCCTTACCTGCCATGACGTCTATTCCACAGAGAATGAGGTCGCTATGCTCGGTGGTGTTAAACATCATCTCCAAAGCCGTTGTTTTCTCGTCACAACCAAGGAACACTTCATGTACTTCATGAAGGCTAAAGTAATAGGTACATGGTGGCGTGGCGTTGATCTGAACACTTTCTAAATTTGAGGAATCTAAAAACAAATTAAAATGATAATGATCACTAATAAACTTCTGGCTATGAAAAAACTCGGCTGCATCAATGATCTTTCATATAAAAATATATATCATATTAATCATGTAGTAATTATATTAATCATGTACCACTTATTCAGGTCGTCATATGAGCGAAATATTCTCAAGCAAGACATAAAACCCAATTTCACCTCACCTCACCACTTATTCAGCGCCCGACCCCTTGCCGCAAGGACATGCTTTAAGCACATACAACGTGATGGATCCCGAATAACCGTGCCTGTGAGGCGCTAGAAGGTTATAGCCATATGACTTATCCCACCGGGCACCCATTTTCTGCTAGGTGAACAAAGGCAATTTTGGACAAACTCGCGTGCCTAAAGTGACACCACATGTGCTTCATTGTGGGGCAGGACAGAAGTCTTAGAAACTCTCAGAGGCCAAGCTGCCATACACGGTCACTCATCCAAGAACCCACCGTGACCAACGGTGCTTAACTTCAACTGATTTGTTACCTGGGCTCTATGCACAACACTACAAGAGGTGATCTGCTATTGAATTTGCTCCAGGTGTCGTCGAGTTGTGACAACGTCAGGACCTGCCATTCGTTTTGTCTATTTAAACCCGGTTATACACATTCTAAGCATTACTTAGGACAAACTTGTTTATTCTTCAACATTCAACAATGAAGTAGCCTTGTGGTTGAAACGTTCGTCTAGTTCGAGTTCGATCTCCCTCTGTAGTCTTGTGTGCCATACACAATCACTCATGCCTTATTCGTATTATGATGTAATCAATTCAGCATCCTGAACAAAATATCCTAATTTCCTGAGAGGAAGTAAATTTATACTTCCTATTATCTGATGTATTGACCAACATGTACGCAGTCTCGTCTGTCAGTTGACTGTCAGCTGCGATGTTAAGAGAGCGATCAGAAGGGTTTGGTTTGTCGGTTTGTTGATGTTTAACGCCGCTCTGGGCAATGTTCCAGATATATGGCGGCGGTCTGTAAATAATCGAATCTAGACCAGACAATCCAGTGATCAACAGCATGAGCATCGATCTAGGCAATTGGGACACGATGACATGCTGTCATGTGATCAGAGCTAGAATTGGTCTTCATCACACCATGGTTGTCATAACAGGCGACTAAGGGTATGGCGTATTCAGGCTGCCACTTTTCTAGCATAAAATATTTTTTCAGCGATTAATGTCGCGTTGCTTCGATTATTTTGTCGGTGCTTGGAAGTATTTTCTCGTTAATGCAATTATTTCCCCGTTAGTTCAATTATTTTCGCGTTGTTTCGAGTATTTTCCGTCATTCCAAATAATTTCTTTAATTTTATCGAAACAACAAGACATTTCGATGGCATCGATGAGCATCGATCTAAGCAATTGAGTTACGATGACATGTGTCAACCAGGTCACCGAGCCTGACCACCCAATTAGTTAGTCACCTTTCACCTCAAACACGAGTTGCTGCTGATCAGTTCTAGCCCGGGTCTCCACGGGTCGTAGGTCAACTACCACCAGCAAAGAGATTTAATGTAATCTGTAATGGAAAATAAACATCACGGGTCTTGACCACAAGGGATTTACGCCACTCGGAGGGCTATTTTACCCCTGACCTAAAAGGTATATAGATATACCAAGGATTTCCGTATCAGTCTAAGGAGATATGCTGCGCAAACTCATGACATACCCTTCAAAATAAGTAGGGGATATTGGATTTACAAGATTGATAAAATGCAAATGATGTAGCCAAGGAGGAAACAGATGATATCAAGAGAAATAAACATTGTACCCATGTGGGGAATCGAACAAGGGCATTCGGCGTGACGAGCGAATACTTCAACCACGAAGCTACCCCACCGCTCCGTAGATTATCAAGTCTGGCCCAGGTTAATACATTATTGATAACATGGACAATCTTCTCTGCGATGAAGCTGGGTGCCACTGGGTGTCTAAGAATCATGAAGCAAAACTCGGATTGTACGTGCAGATTTGGTTACGCAAATACAGAAGAAAACAGGGGCGGAGGGGTAGCCTAGTAGTTAAAGCGTTCGCCCGTCACGCCGAAGGCCCGGGTTCGATTTCCCACATGGATACAATGTGTGAAGCCCATTCCTGGTGTCTCCCGCGGTGATAAGGCGTGAATATTGCTAAAAGCGGCGTAAAACCATACTCACTCTCAGAAGAAACCAGATGCTATGACCGAATTTGCGTAACTTTCATATTTCACAAAAGGCTACAGGATCAGGAGCGTTTGTCAGCATTACCCATAATATTATGTATCTATGTAAATCCCAGTTAGAACCGGTCAACGGTAACCCATGTTTGTCGTAAAGGAGACTAACTGGATCGGGTGGTCAGGCCCGATTACTTGGTTGACAAATTCCATTGTATCGGTATTGCCGAGATAGGTACTCATGCTGTTTATCACTTGATTTTCTGGTCTTGACTTGGTTATTTACAGACCGACGCCATATAGCTGGAATATTGCTATACAGCGTTATACAACTAACACACCAAAATATAATATTATGACAGATATGTGGTTCTGAGGACCATCTAATCCGTGAAGATCCGGGTTAGAATATTGATCTTCAGCAAGCCATGCTTGTCGAAAGAGGCAACTAACGGGTAGTCAGGCTCGCTGACTTGGTTGACACATGTCATCGGTTCCCAATTGCGTAGATCGATGCTCATGTTGTTGATCACTGGATTGTCTGGTCCAGACTTGATTACATACAGACCGCCGCCATATAGCTGGAATATTGCTGAGTGCGGCGTAAAACTAAACTCACTCACTCACTGAGGACCATCTGGACAGGGTGCGTGAAGAAACAGAAGTATACCAAACACTTACTTGTGTAAATGATTATTTCACGTAGATGATGTGACCTTTGGAACTGCATTTTAACAACCGGTGGATCGACCAGAGAACAGTTAGTTGGTCTGTCATCCATAACCACATCTGCTTGTAACTCTGGGCTTGTAATATAGTCTTCGTCGTTCACGTTGTAGAGTTCTGAAAGCATGAATGTCACAACCTTGATGCCACTCTCTGCGAAGACAGCACTTCGGTAGTTGCTATTACGAAGGTGACTTGTTCAATTTGTATTACTTGAAAACGTTTCTAAAATTATCCAATTAAAAATGTGTACCTTAACTGCGTTTCCGACGTATAACAGTAGTTGACATTTCTTTGTTGTCTATGGTAGCAGTGAGTTCGTGAGTTTGGTTTAGCAATATTTTAGCAAAATTCCAGCAATATCGCGGCGGGGGACACCAGAAATGGTTTTCACACATTGTACCCACTTTGGGAATCGAACCCGGGTTTCAAGCGTGACGAGCAACGCTTTAACCAGTAGTCCACCCAACCTACCTGTCTTAGCAACGTTACAGTACATGCGGCATTACCTTTTGGTCCATAAACAGATATACCAACAGTTGGTAAGTGGTAGGGTTGTATGACATAGCCAGGTGGTGGGTACCCACCAACATTGGGTACCCGTGCACATCCGGGTTACAATTAGTCTTCAGTAACCCATGTTTGTCGTAAGAGGAGACTAACAGGTTTGGGTGGTCAGGCTTGCTGACTTGTTAGACACATGCTATCGTATCCCAGTTGCGTAGATCGATGCTCATGCTGTTGATCACTGGATTGCCTGGTCCTCACGGGATTATTTACAGCCATATTGCTGTGATATTACTGAGAGCGGAGTTAAACAACAAGCCATCCAACCAACATAGGGGATAACACAGTGATAAAAAATTCCCTGTTCGCTGTGTAGTAGAGCAAGCCATAATTTCTTTGGGTTCAAATCCTAATAAAAACCTGATTGTGATTATTGTCACAGTAGTAACATGCGTTTGATGCCTACTGTTGTATGCCTTAATGCATACGGGTTTGAATCTGGCTATGATTCGTGATCCTTCACCACCATACTTGGGTTTACCCAACATAGTACACCTGCACCGCGTTGTTAAGTGAGTGAGTTAAAATCTTACATCCCATCCGTTGGGTGCGGACTCCTTGGATGGGTGAAGGAGTTTGACAGATTGAATCCTGAGATTTTTTCGGACTTCAGTCCTGCTCCACAACCAAACACGTGATACATGTGGTCTCACATTCGGCAAGTGAAAATTGCCTCTGATCACTAGCAGAAAATGGGTACCCGGTGGGATAAGCCATGTGACTATAACAATAGTAATAGTGTTGTACTGTTTATGCTCGCTTTAAGCATGGAAACTTTGTGGTGTTGAGTACTGCGCGATGTAAGTACCCTCAATATTATTATTTATCCTCAATATTTCAGCCATATCGTGACGAGAACAGTTATGTTAGATATAATAAATATCTGTCACATCTATTAACACAAGGGGTATAACTAGAGGGTCATCTCCTTTCAACATTTAGTCATGTGTAAAACGCGTATGACCAATTCGACATATGTTTAGTTAAGTACGTCTTACAAAAAACCCAGTACGTTTGGCTCAAAAGCGGACCGATGAATTGCAATCTAACTTGAAAACTAATAAACATAACATACTCAATGAAACGCTGATCATAATCAAAACATCATACCCACTCTGTGAGGTTTTTGCAGAATTTTTGTCCTAAAAATAATAAAGTTGTTTAACAAACTATCATTAAAATATTGACACAGTTCACTATTTGTTACGAGGGAGGATTGCAGAGAAAGGGACAGCCAGGTGTTCGAGAAGCACGTTCACAGACAAAGTTATTTATTCATTAACCAGTGCTGTGCCGTCTCCATCCGTTCTTCGTGGCATACTCGCAACTGGCCGTCGATGCTTCGGTCAAACTAAATGACATAATCTCAAGTTCACAATAACAACGTTATCGTAATACGATTATCTTATTATACGGTCAAAAGTCACAAATCATTGGGTGGCTGTCAAGTAAATTCACCCAGGTGAGAAACTTTCTTCTTCTTCGATAAATCTTTACCACTGCTATTCTATGTTAACTTTAATCTATTGTATATGTCTTTACTATATGTTACCCTTGCCATGTATCTCTCAGATATGCTGTATACTGAAAGCCATTAAAAACGCAATTGGTATTTGTTGTCCTGAAACTTACAAAAGTTCTATTGAAGATTTTTTCCTCATGAACTTTGATACTTAAAACTGAACCTTTGGCATTTCTCGTAAACACAACCACATTCATGAAACACGTTGTGCACATGCATTACCTGCACCCAGGCCCTGTAAAAGCACGAGGAGTTGTGGAACTCAATCACTTTGAAAAATGCCACACTTGACACAAGACGAAAGGAATCAGGTTATCGGTATGGTCAGCCAAGGTGCTTCAGATGTGATGATTGCCAGGCACTTTAATGTGCATCCATCCACTGTAAGTCGACTCAGACAACGTTTTCGGGCTACCGGAAGTGCTGCTGATCGTCCGCGACCTGGTGCACCACCTGTGATAACAGCTCGACAAAACCGCAATATCCGAGTTTCTCACTTGCGAAATCGGTTCCAAACAGCTGATGATTAGGCAAGGAGGACAATTGGGACAAGTCAACGTCATTTCAGCGCCCAAAAGGTGCAAGGACGCCTTGCTGCCTTCAACATCCGGTGTCGTCACCCGTACCGTGGTCCAACCTTATTGCATCGTCACAGACTTGCCAGACAGCGTGCGGCAGCAAATGGGGTCAATCTTGGCAACAGGACATGGCCAGATGTCATTTTTTCAGATGAATCCAGGTTTAACTTATCCTTTGCAGATGGACGTCAACAGATTTATCGATGTAAAGGAGAAAGACTTGCGCCAAACTGTGTCCTTGAACATGATCGTTTTGGAGGGGGTGGTGTCATGATCAGACCACAGACCATCAGAGGCTGCAGAAAATCCAACAGCTGTTCCTGAGAAATGTGTGTCTTTCAATGCCCCAAAGACTGCGAGCATGTCTTGCAGCGCACGGTGGGCACACACTGCAAGTGACCCCTCCTTTGTGTGATGTCGTTATTGCATCACTGATGTTGTTGTTGACTGGACATTTTCAGATGAAATTATTCACAGATGTTCACTTAAAACATATCTGCCAGTTAGGTTTATATATGTTGAAATTAGTGTGAGTAAAGAAAGTATGAATGTCAAATTGCATTTTTAATGGCTTTCAGTATATTACTGTTTATTTTAATACTGACTGACACTGAATATGTGAGGTGAGGTGAAATTGGGTTTAACGTCGTGCTTGAGAATATTTCTCTCATATGACGACGTGCATGCGTGTGTATGTGTATGTGCGGCTGCTTGTACAAGCCCAGACTTAAGCTGGTTTTACAGTGCTAGCCCACTGAGATACCATGCCGCAGTGAAGCATGAATACCCCATTCAGACACATTATACTGACTCCGAGCCGACCAGTCCTTGTTGTACCCATTAATGCCGAGCACCAGGCAGGGACCAACAAGTACCATATTTTAACGTCGTTTGGTATGACGCGGTCGGGGATCGAACCCGCGACCTTCCGCTCTCCGGACGGACGCTCTAACCACTATACCACGGAGGCGATCACTGAATGTGTAGTTGCAAGCTATATATAGTGTGTAACGAATCAACATGTGATGTCTGTTTAGTTAATATTTCTCGCATATATGTACTTTGATAATTCATTGTGATCATGCGATACTAATTAATTGTAAACATTTCTGTTATTTAAGATATTTTTATGGATTAAACTTCTGTTTTATTTACCTCACGACGTTTCGGGGCCATTCCAGGTCCCTTCATCAGGTGAACTGACAGTTGAGACTAAGTTGAGACTATATCGTGCATGTGAACAGCAGCGTTTTAGTGTAAAGTTTTGTTCAGAATGATTAGTCTCAACTGACAGTTCACCCGATGAAGGGACCTGAAATGGTCCCTAAGCGCCGTGAGGGAAATAAAAAAGAAGTTTAATCTATAAAAATATCTTGGACATCTATGTACAACTTCTAAATGCCACTGAAAGACATCATTTATGTGATTGACTAATTATGTATATCCTGTGATAGAAGCGACAAAACCCTTTCCCCATTCATAAGAAATCTCAGCCGTCTTTTACTTAGTCGTTTACTTTACTCGTCGTTTATATACTCAGGTCCTAGATTTTCGAAGCTCTCTTAGCGCTAAGATAGTCGTAAGGTAATGTTAATGTATGGCACTTACGACTATCTAGCGCTAAAAGAGCTTCGAAAATCTAGGCCCAGGTCTTCTGTTGAGAGTGGGTTGGTATAGTCAACCACTTGCCAAGCGAGCTAGCTATAGTTCCCCGACACTCGCGTGTTAATATAGCCAAGCAGGACATGCATGACCGAAATTCTTTCATCACAAGGAATACAAAATGGAGGATCCTCCCCTTTCAGCAAATATTCATGTGTATAACTTAAATGACCAATACGATATCGTCGTAAAATTACCTCCTCAAATCTGGACTGACAACCCAAGTAGGTATAACCAATAGTTGGTTTAGTTTCATGTTGTTTAATGGCACCTACTTTTTGTAATGACAGGCTTATAATCACTGTATGGGATAAGAAGTGGTGTCACAGATTTGTTGTGAGCAGCTTTGGCCGTAGCATCAGCGGTACGTGTTACCACTGATCCCAATATGGTAACCGACAGAAGGCGATAATGGCCAGTACAAGAACATTAAATAATTAAATAATTTCAATTTATAGTGGACGTTTAGAAGACACGATAGAGAATATAAAATTATAATGGACTGTTTATATTTAGAATGGTTATTTATATAGTTTAGAGACGTTAGTGTGACAGACACCTGTGCTGTGAAAATTGAGCTGTCATAATGTAATCTTGAAAATGGCTCCAGTGATAGTGGCACACAGTAAAAGCAACTAGAGTAGTTGTCTGGGCCAAAAAAGGTGTGGCATATCTCTACGGCCTCATTCTCAAAGAGTGAAAATTCAGAAAAGGTTCTTACCCAGACCGCCTTCACAAACCACACCGACCTCTCGATCAGTTGCTGCAAATGGCCCATTAGCTGTGTACATGTAAGTCCCATTCGGCATTTCGATCCAGTAATCATTCACTTGATCTGATGGATCAAAGCCATCCATTATAGAGTTCCCAAGCTTATATGCAGCAAGTCTTGCTCCCATTTTTCGACAAAATGTGTCAGCCTCAGAAAAGGTTAGTTTGTTCTTATGGGTGTAATAGCATCTATTGTCCAGTGTCACGATTTCCTTCACATGTTCATCGCGGTTCGGACATACATCAGCTGAAACACAAGGAGTTAAATGATGAGAACGCCAGGCTTTAAGTTGTTGAATCATTCAGGTTCACTGCTTTAAGTGGAATTTTAGAAGTTGAGATGTACAATATTGAAAACTTTATGGATAACAACTTCTTTTATTTCGTTAATTCGGCGTTTCGATACAGATTCTGGTACCGTTGTCAAGAACGAATGACATGACGTGACATTCATGTCTTGTAGTGGTACAAGAGTCTGTATCGAAACGTCGCACTCACGAAATAAAGGAAGTTGTTATCCATAAAGTTTGATCAGTATCATTCGGGTTTAGTCGGGTTATTACTTTACCTGCATGAATACCTCTGCAAGAATAAATGAATGAATATTGCTTTGCGCGACATCAATACTTTTCCAGCTATTTGCGACGAGAAATATATTTACAATATGTAAGGCTATAAAAGTGAAGATCACTAAAGTTTCAGTCAAATATAATTTAATGGCTAAAAAATGTCTTTTGTGATAAATTCTATATTTTGTGGAATATCTCTTTTTTACAAGCTATAACTTAGTGTCTGAAAACTGTACTCAGCAAGCAATGTTGTAGACTAATGATTTCTATCGCACTTATATTTCTCACATAAGGATATCGCCATGTTTGATGTAATATATTATTCACGTGAACCAGTGTAACTAGAGAATCCAATTCCACATAGATTTGATGACGCTTCAGGCGAGGCGAGTTATAAGGAACCATACCTAACGGTTACAATTGTTTCTATCGACTAATCATAGCGACTCCACAGTGTATGCTGTATGTGCTCATACATAAAGATACCCGTGAAGATCCGGGTTAGAGCTTGTCTTCAGCAACCCATGCTTGTCGTAAAAGGCGACTAACGGGATCGGGTGGTCATGCTCGCTGACTTGGTTGACACGTCACCGTATCCCAGTCGCGTAGATCCATGCCCATGTTGTTGATCACTGGACTGTGTGGTCCACACTCGGTTATTTACAGACCGACGCCATATAGCTGGAATATTGCTGAGTGCGGCGTAAAACTAAACTCACTCACTCACACGCATACATAAAGTAAGAAATTTACTCACCAAACTTTGCTTCGCACACAACATTATGACTGGCATTTTTTGGTACGGAGGTTTTTGTTCTTTCAGCAGTAACTATAACATGACCGGGTTCATTGTCATTTGTCCCAGTATTCTTCGTGTTCGCTTCCCCACCCCATATCCATCTGTCCCCGTCCTTCTCCAAACCTATCCAGTGCTCACCTTTGTAAAAACGTATACTTAGTTATTCCATGCATCACACAACTGGTTTTATGACACAAGACAAAGCGTATATCACCAGTAGAGTAGAAAGAAGATGTTCAGCACCGCATCCGGCGGTGTCACCACCACTTCCGGTGGTGCTCTGACGTAACCTCCGGTGTTATGCGGTGCGTCGAGTCACACGACGTCGTGTGACCTCGACATTTCCCATTGTTCTCGAGGTCGAGTCGATAACCGGGCTCGTCACGTGACGTCGTATAACCTCGACGTTCACCCGTCGTTCTGGAGGTCGAGTCGATAACCGGGACTGGTGAGGGGATGCCGAGGAGAGGCGACAGTGGTTCTACTGTATTCGACCGACCCCCGCGTCCTCGAATCGTGACGTTGACGCGCGTTATGACGACGTTAAACGCCATGCGCAACTGCCCTATCGCCCTTTTTTTGTTAAATCGACGGATGTTGCTGAACCTGTATTTTTTTAAAAGGTTTTGAAGGGGCAAAAATACGTTTATTGTACTTTGCTTCAGTTAAGTAACCACTATAAAACATGAAAACCCTCTTTGAACAATACATTAGCACCGCTGCAGTGCAAGTAGTTTTTCTATCAATAACCAGTGTGGATTGATGTATTTCAATAATGCATTCTTTGGATGACCAGTTCACTTTCATAGATAACATAATATATGATGTCTTGGGAGGGTGGATACAGGACATTCTCATCCGCAACTTATATTTTAACGATGACAAATCTTCGTGCTGTGTTGCCGAAGTATTACCCCCAAGTTGTCGGATGCAATATACCTGAATATGAATGGTTCGAGGGATGTGTCTTATTATTGTTTTACATGAATGTTACATATTCTCTGAGTCTAGTTAACTATATGTCTTGTTATAACAAATATAGCTTGCATTTCATATTAGTTCAGTTCCAGGGAATGAGATATCATCATGGATGTCGTTCCCTAGAGTAGGTCCAGGAACATGGAATATTTCGCAGAAGCAAGATACTGGCTCTATTCTGCCCGAAACCGTGTTCCATAGAGAGAGAATTTTATGTAAATGTCCCTGTCTGAATAGATGGAGATGCTTAATTGCTCTCAGTTCATATGTTTTAGACATGGGCAACGTGTCTGTTATTGTATAGATGATTAACATAAACCACACTATGAATCAACAGTGGATTAAACACGGCTGTGTCACGTATAGATTGACGTGCGTTATATATAAAAATGTTTACCGATACATTTGTTCGACACTAGATTTGCGTCTGTGGGGAGATGAAGGTCTGTTATTGTATGCTCTATGGATACCTGTGTCAACACTGAGTGAGTGAGTTGGGCATCAAGTTCGCTACGTGTCTGTGACAGACGAATACATCTATTGCTATTACTCATAATCTGTTATGAAATATGCGAGTGAGTTAAACTTTAAAAGTCAGTTTAACACTATGTCACCAATATCCTAACTAAAACAAGAATAGGTGAAAAAACAACAACAACAGTAAAACAACTGGATTATCACAGATATTAATCAAACTAGTAATTCATTCTGTAATAATTTAACTATACATGACGATACAATATATATAACTCAGGCTACAGATCGTCAGATCACCGTACTAGGGCCCATGGAGACTTACAATACTTTGGCTACCTTGCTCCCTTGCATGGACACTAACCGTATTTACACCATCCCCTCAGCCACTGACTATTGAAGGGAAATTTAAGCATATATTGAAATAACACATATTCTACAGTATAGCCTTTGATTGTTTTGACAATGAAATATTAATCCCTTATGTTGGAAAATTCTATACAGTTTAGCAAGACAATGACTGACCGTGAGTCTTTCATCACAAGGGATGCAAAAAACAGAGGATTATTAATTATGTAATATAAAGTCACTAACTTACCCGTTTTGCATAACATCAACTTGTACTCCACGTCAACACAGGTCGGAATGGCATTATGTCGGAATAGATCGAAAATACTATAGTCCAGGCAATCGCATATGGTTGTGACATTTGAAAGTAATCTGCCAGCTTTACGAATAACCGAACGTTGAAACCTCTCTTCGTGCGGTATATTTTTGACAGGTTTATGAGGAGAAAAGACAATCGTCACGATGTTTTTATTGCATCAGCAGTGGTTGGCCTTGTGTCTGTGCGAGATGAAAGCCTGTATTGTACGCTTTATGTAACTCTCGTGTCAGCAAATAGACCAGGACGGTGTGTTAAAATGTATGTTAATCTATGCCCAAATGGATATAGTAATAATAGTGTATGTAGTTCAGATGCGGACCTCAGGTAATCCCATGATATGTTTAAAAATTTCCATTAATCGAAATGGTTTATTTCAGGAATTAAAATTGACCATAGACCCAGGTTTTCATATTGAGAATTACAAATATGAGAAAGTAAATTGTAATATAAACTGTTTCAGTAACATAGACTGGTGTGTATAAACAGACAAATGTTTCAAGCCGCTTGCACATCAAATTTATGGATATTCATAAAAGTAGTGAAGTGTTGTACACACGTCACAATGCGTGACGTTTATGACAAATAAACCAGTAGTGATATTCATCTTTTATATATAATAGTTTACAGATATTATAAACTCTATCCTAGCCTCTCCAATATACCTACCTGATTCTTTCGTAGTTTATGAAACCTCGATCTAAACTGAACAAGAGCACGTCTGTGTTTCAAATAGCTGTCTGTCTGAACACAGGTTTAAATAAAGAGAATTCAAATGTGTTGTGTCTTGTACCCCAATATTGTAAGAAATATAAAATGTGGGGAGTTCGGATCTCAGTCTCACATTAGTCTCTCGAGCTCCATGCACGAACTTTGATCATATCTGTGCCATCCACCTTTCTACTAACTTACCAGAAGTTGTCTGAGGAGATTTTAATTTCTTTTCAGGTTGAATAGACATATTCTTTGTTTGAAAGGTAAGAGTTTTAATCATACTGTCAAACGTGTTAGAATAACACAAGTATTACTTTACTTCAATAAGTGTCACATTTATGCTCAATGACAAGTCATTTCTTAACAATTGAGTTTTCACAATATTTCAGAATATTCTCCCACTCGCCTGCATTGTTTGCTAGACCACATTAATTTTTTTTATCTTTATCTTGTGGAGTCGATAATAAACAACTAAAATGATATCGATAGAATTTAATGCAATTCAAGTCAATTGGACTTACATCGTACATAATTTAGAAACTCCATCCTTTCTCGACGTTTTGTTTGAAAAAGGAATGATTACGTTCGCATGTTATACCGACCAAAGAGCTATTTTGAAACAATATGGTAGGATTGAATCCAATCGAGACTTGATGTGCATTGTCATCAGGCAGACCAGTTTACGTCAAGTGATAGAAGCTTTCAGGAGATCGCATCATGATGATATAGCAGACAGGATTGAGCAATCATTTCAACAGAATCAATAACAAGAAGAAATAAAAATACTGAAAATGTAAAAGGCACGGTAACTATTGTATAAAGATTCATATTGTGCGCGAGTGTGTGTGTGTGTGTGTGTGTGTGTGTGTGTGTGTGTGTGTGAAGAACAAGTTTGTATATTTTTACTGAATCATTATGTTGTCCTCATGAAAGCTAGACAATTCAATTTGTTTGTTGTTTCTATTGATTGCAGAAAATATAATCTGTCCATTACCTTGTTTGCTAGACCCTATTTAAAAATGTCTACCCCATTTACTATACCCGTATTCACTTGTGAGTTTTGTCAAAATACCTTTGGTCACAAACGTTCGCTCGTTAGACATCAGAGAAACTGTGGTCCCTGTAACAAACGTTTTGATTGTGAAATCTGTTCCAAATCGTTTTCGCGCAGCGATACATTACAAAGACATCTAAAAAGTCAACACAAAGACAATCCATTTAACACAGGTTCACGATTATCATTCACGTGTCGTGTCTGTTCAAAGACCTTTCCCACAGTAAAAGGTCTTACCAAACACACAAGACAGAAACATTTTTCTCCGAGTTCTAAACAACAAGGAGCCGCTAAACGTAGGAAAACGGATAATCAGCAGTCATGCTCTAGACAAGCGTTGAGTGGGAATACGAGGGAATTTGATTTTATTCCCCGGGGTGAAGAAGGGAAGGACCCGTACTATTATTTTGTGAAAATTCAACCTGACACAATTCATCATTTGAAAACAGAGCTGGAAACAAAACGATCAATCAAGTGGGGACTATGTACTCAATTTAGGTTTAGCAAAACCAACTCGGATGGTCTAACATCATTTTCTGAACCTTATTTTAGAACAAAAATGTCTCCAGCGACACAAGCTGACGATTTGGATGTGTTGTACACCGAACGCATACATACATTAATGAAACTGATGGACAATTACCAAGGAGATAGTTCAAACTTAAATTTTGAAACAGTGTTGAGTGCTAAATTATCTGTGGTCAAATTTCAACCTTTTCGCGGAAGTTCGTATCTCCCCTTCCCCTTCATTAGAGAGAAAACGTTGTCTGTTAAACATTAAAAACGTGGACGATGACTTGTGTTTTGTTTATTGCGTTTTGGCTCACCTGTTTCCTGTTCAATCCCACCAAGTCAAAGAACAAGTGACTAATTACAATGATAAAATTCATTACTTAGACCTGAATGGGTGTTCATTTCCCATGAATCTCAATCATATTTCAAAATTTGAAAAAGCAAATAATTTAAGTATCAATGTCTATGGTTGTGATGAAGATGGAAATCAACGCCTTGTTGTCTTTCCTTTACGAGTCAGTTCAGAGACTTCCGAACTAGCTAAAGATCGTCAGATCGATCTACTTCTGTTAACTCAAGAAGTGGAAGAGGAAGACGAACCCCCAATGTCTCATTATGTTTTGATCACCAGTTTACCAGCTTTGGTCAGGAATCCTGGAGATAGTAACAGCAAATTCATTTGTCGAAAGTGTTTGTGGACATTCAAATTTGAACACACTTTGGTGAAGCATGTCCCTTACT